GTCTGTGGTTGCGGCAGTGGGAGGGACAGCAGGGCAGGCTGATAACAGAGTCTGAAGGGACCTCACATCCACCACCACTATTTTTACCAGGCCCAAAAGAGGAGTAAGGCATGTTGCAACACACACTCACACAGAGAAAGACACTCTCACACACACACGCAGCTAAACGCCTCACTAGAAAACAAGGCGTACAAATAGGTTTTGATATTTTTCATATTTAGCACTGCCACAAAATGTTTTTCTGCTCTTTGAAGTTGCAACCTGAATCCCTAGAGGGGGGGTTGATTGTGCTACTAGGGTGATAAAGTTGAAAGGTTATTAGAGAATTAAAGCTGCACTAATCCATATCTTTTCATTAATAATGGATGAAATTAATATGTCTAACATGAAAGCTCGAATGACAAACACACAGAGGATTTTCATCCAGCTCGGCAGCACTTTACTGTCGCTTTCATCTACCACAGCTGTTTTCAGCAAAAAGAAGTTATAAAGCTACCGTACACTACCTGCCCAGCACCAAACGACAAAGTTAGCAATAAGCTTGTATAGTGGAACATTTAGAGCCAGATACTGTGTAAAAATGAAAGTGAAAATGAATGACAGAGTATGAGTCATCATGAAGTTGTGTAAATAATTATGTAAGTATTAAGTATTTTTCTCAATAATTATATTTTTGATATTTTAATCAGTATTTTTGAGTACAAGTGCTATGGTCAGGGCCTTTAAAGGTCTTCAGCACTTGTTTTGGATGTAAACAATGTAGGTTTTAAGAAAGAATTTGCAGAATGTTCAGAACACTGAACTCCACAGGGCACCTTTTAAATGTTTTCAACCTTCTTAAATTAAATTCACTATTCAATATTCTGAGTGTGTAGTAGTTTGATTCAAAGAAGTAAAAGGTTCCTTTAGGTTTAGTGGATGCAGCCGGACTAATTAAAGCATGGTGCCTTATAGTCTTACAGCCGTACCACCCTGAATACACTCAATCTCGGCAGGGTCGGACCTGGTTAGTACATGGATGGGAGATGAGCTGGGAATGACAGGTGCTGTTTGGGTGAATGTGACAGGGCCTTTCTGTGTGGAGTTTGTTCTCCTCGTGTCTGCGTGGGTTTCCTCCAAGGGCTCCGGATTCCCCCCACCATTAAAACATGTATATTAGGTTCTCTTAGGAGTATATTCTCCAGTCAGTGCCCTGGCTCAGATCTGGAGTTGGTCCCACTGCTCCTAGTGCTCAGGATGGGTTAAATGCAGAGGACACATTTCACTATACATTGGACTGTGTATGTGTCAACAAACACAAAAAGACAAAACAATCCACATTTAGACACTTTCAAGGGAAAAATCCTGAAATGTGCTGAACAAAAATGAGCCTGCACCAGGTCTCTGTGCTGCTGTGCTATCGTCTCCCATTCATTTGAGCTTGATCCAATCCCAGCATCTCCTCCCACATGGGGTGTAGTTCTGTACTCTGTCTTTGGGAGGAGGAACAGGGAGGCAGCATTTTCTATAAATATTCCGGTTTTCTCTGTGCTGGGCTGGATTGAGCCGGTTGAGCCTCCCATGCAGGGACTTCCCAAGCCGGTGGATGAGGTGTAGCTGTGGAGTGGAGGGAAGAGAAGGAATGAAGACATAGTGCTCTAACACTGGCACTGGAGCTGCTTCAAAACTAACCTTTTAATGAGCCGCCCTGTGCTTCTGAATGAGTCAACCAATTTCATAACTGGATGTAATAGAACTGAGCACAAAGCATGCCAACAATTACTGAGAATTGACTTTGGTTTGCAGGTTTCAGCAGCCTGCAAGCAAAAAGACTATTCTGAGGAGAAGCCAGAAACTTCCACGTCACTTAAAACATGATTGTTGTTGAGTTTAATGCCAGATGATTTGTTGACCACTAAGTCAAAACTTACAGTCTTTATATTACTATGCCATCCAAGGCTGCTTTTGATATGAAGAAATGTTTTAATCTTCTCAAATTTTCCTGAAATTGGGCCTCCTCACTTTCCTCAGTGCCCATGATTTGTTTGGTTCCATACAACCTTGGTTTGGTTTATATGGTCTCATTACTCTGCCCTTGACGTGTTGGGTTGTAATCCAACAAGTGCAAGAGGCCAGAATGTAGCTGTTTTTACTGATTTAAGACTTGCCAGACATCCAAACCGATGTGATGCAACTGTCCAAACATAGTTAATCAAGATTATTCTAGTCTGGTAGCACTGTAATGAACAAACAGGGTTATAGGATGCTGCTCGAATTATTTACTTCTCTTTTGTCAATCACAAGGTACATCAAGAGAGCATTGCATCAACTGGTCAAACGTGCAAATTTGCAGATAGAAGTTTTACGCAGATGAGCTGTGACCAACTGTGAGCCTATCGTAATGTGAGGTTATGTACGTACGTAACGTAATCGGTTTGTGGATTACTCTTGTACGTTGAGCAGCGCAACTCGTCCATAGCAGGAAACAATGGTGGCTCACCTGGTCACACACAATCTCATATTACAGATAAACAGTAACAGTTAGTGAACAGATTTGAGGAGATAAAATTAGTCAACGCAGTAACAGAATCTTGATTCATATCTGATCAGCACTGCCTAGTTTGACAGTTTGATCTGAGTTTGTACTGTTAATGGCTGTGACTGGGAATGTGCCAGAACTGTTTGCAGAACACGGATATCGGAGACGTATTCTTGGAGTTGTCAGTCACATGAGATTTAAGGAAGTCAATAAGAGGCTCAGTGAATATTCAAGTGGGACTGATCCTTTAGAACCAGCTTTTTGACAGTGGAATCACTTGGAAAAGTTCGATACTTGGTTCGGGAATCGGTTCCAACACTGGCTCCGTGTAGGTGGAAAAGCCCTTTGAAAGTGACAGCGAGTGGAAGAAGGACCCAGGGGTGTGGAAGCTGTTTGTACAAGCCAGTGGGTGTTGCCTGGGCGTGGAGACTGCAGGAGAAGAGAAGGGGCAGGCCAGGACTCAGTGGCCAGGCTTGGTGCTACGTGGTCGGCCTGGTTTTTCCCCACGTTTCCTTCCCTGCACAGCATAATGAATGGCTTCCTACTGGTCTGTGGCCGTGGCCCCGGCTTAAAGAGTATACTTACCAAGGCCCAGAATACACACCCCAGCCAGCCAGCCAGCCAGCCAGCCAGCCAGCCAGCCTGTGTCCTGGCCTCTGAACACTCCCAACCACCAGTCCACCTGCTACAAACTGGCTCAATCACACACTGTCACATCAGCCACAATGAAAAAAAATATTTGATCTCCAATGGGAAACAGACTTTTTGAGAATTCTTCAACATTTTCTGTCACTATTACAGAAACAGAAACAGTGCAGTTACAGAAGTGTTTACGAAGTCACATATTTCCTCCACGGGGGCCAGAGGTCAAGTTGACTGAAGGATGTCTAGAGGGGGTAACATGTCCATCATGTGGTTAAAGGATACTTCCCAGTGCCCAGCACTTGGTGGGATGACAGTGTAGTATTAACATCCCTCAGGCTGTTTGACTCTACATTATGTCTTCAAAAATAATTTTTGATGTCGACTTTGGACTGGCCCAGACTGCCTCAAGTCAGACTTAACCAGAAAACCACTTTTAACAAAAACATTTACCCACATATGCACGTAACTTAATTTCAGTTAAGATTTCCAATTCTTGCTTCACTGTGGATTAGTCACTACCATCGACATATATAGAGACGGACAACATAACAGCTCTTTGAAAGTGAAGCCAAAACATGTCGATGGCCCCCTTGAGGCTGATTGCAGTAGAGGTCATGAAGCCCGCTGCCTCCGTGTTAACAGAAAATGTCCAGTAATTCTAAATAATGTTAATTTAAAGGTCCAGTGTGTAACGTTTAAGAGGGTCTATTGGCAGAAATGTAATATAATATTAATAAGTATGTTTTCATTACCTATAATCACCTGAGAATAGAAATTATTGTGTTTTTGTTACCTTATAATAAGCGTTTCTCCAGAGAGAGTGGGTCCTCTTCCATGGAGGCCACCACGTTAAACCATGTTTCTACAGTAGCCCAGAACAGACAGACCAAACTCTAGCTCTAGATAGGGGTGTTGTGTGTTTTTTGTGAGTTTCACGGCCACCGTAGTTTCTCCTACATGCTTGGCAGGGTGAGGCATGAGCATTGCAATCAGCAGCTACACCGCTTGATGCCACTAAATCCTACACACTGGACCTTAACAGTAGTAATG